CCTCTCAGGTTTCCAGCAGGTCACGCTGCTGTCTGTGCCCAGCCTGGGACACCGTGTCCTGCCTGCTGCACGCCAAGTGATGCTGGCAGGCACCAGCAAACCCTCCCCAGCTTCCCTTCCCTTCCCTGGACACTGAAAATCACCTCGTTCTCCCAAACCATCTGCAGGATCCTGCCCTAACCAGGGCTGGGCTCATCCCCACCACCACCACAAGCAGACACAGAATTTCCAGAAGGACACCCACCCACACGTGGGGCTTTTCCCCTAACCCAGCTGAGAGAAAGGGAATCTCTGGGTGCAGCTCCCTCTGCCGCTCTCATCTGGATCTGTGTGTAATGCAAATGCTGCCCTAGATGCCTGGATTCTGTGTTCTCAAGGAACAGAACAACTGAACTCTGAATTCCAAACCCTGCCAGGACAGGGAGCCTCCTGTGTGGAGCCCAGAGCCATCCAGTGCCTGGGCTCCCAAATGCAGCTTTGGGCTGCAGTACAAAATAACATCCACAAACACAAACTATTGCTGAAAGCACTGAGGCTTGAGAATTCCAACCTTGGTACAAGTGGAACTGCAGAAAACTGATTAAAGCTGAGTTTGTCCTTCACATTCTGTTTCAATTCTTACTGTAGCATTTCCCTCATGAGCATCCCACACCCCCTGCTCGTTTTCAAAGGGCTTTTGCATTCTTAGCTTGTGCTAAGGCACTGTGTGATGGTGCTGCTGGATCAGGGACATTTCAGGGCTGTGAACCCCTCCTGCCTGAACAGGGAGCAAGAAATGCAGAGTGTGGGGGGACAGAACCACCCAGCAAATACGCACAGCTCTGTTACCGTGCTTCCTGAGGAGAAATACTCACAGCTCTGTTGATGTGCTTCCTGATGAGGAGGTAGAGCACGGGCAGGGTGACATAGGCCAGGATCTCCCAGAGCTTCCCTGCCAGCAGCATCCACAGCAGCCGGTCCTCGGCGTCCAGGTTGACCCAGCACCAGCCCACGGAGACGTTGGAGGCGTCGTAGCCAATCTTCCTGAGGGCCACAGCAGCCACGGTGATGGCCAGGGGGACACCCCAGCTGGGGGGACACACAGAGAGGGGGCTGAGCCTGGGGCATCCCCAGAGGAGCCCCCAGACCCCAGGAAATGGAGCCAGAGGCAGGGGCTGTCACACAGACATGCTTTATGGAAAATCCTTTCCTTAGGAGAAGCTGAGAGGCCTCAGGGACGAAATGCAAACAATGGTTATCTGCTGCTGTGGAATGCAACAGGTGCATCTGTGGTTGGCCCATGTTGGATGTTTGTAATTAATGGCCAATCACAGTCAGCTGGCTCAGACAGAGTCCAAGATAGCTGCCTTTGTTAACATTCCTCCTTTTTCTATTCTTAGCCAGCCTTCTGATGAAACCTTTTCTTCTATTCTTTTAGTATAGTTTTAATGTAATATATATCATAAAATAATAAATCAAGCCTTCTGAAACATGGAGTCAGATCCTCGTCTCTTCCCTCATCCAAAACCCCTGTGAACACCATCACAGGGCCAGGGCACTGTAAAATGTGATTTTCCTGTAGCCAGCTGATCCCGAGCTTTCGGAGCACAAGCAGCCAAGTCCCACCTTCCCATTCCAAAGTGAAATTCTGCACTCAAAGAAATCCACAACTTCATTCTGTCAGCGGTGTGTTTTCTTGCTTTGCTTTTAAGTGGAGATGCAGTCAGTATTTTGGGAGCAAAAATATGGTTTCTGAAGGACAAAGAGGCAGGGAAAAGTACTGGGAGCAACAGTAAAAAGCTAAGAAAGCAAAGAGGAGCCACATCCTCAAAACTTGGAGCTGTGACTTTGGCTTCTCACTTCATAGCAGAGGCAAATACAGGGAAGCATTTAGAAGAAAAATAACTGTGGTGACACACTGGAATGAAGTCACTCAGCAGCTTGGGCTGCCCACAAGAAACTGTGAGGAAGGGCAGAGGAATCCCAGCAGCCCAAACAGNGGACAGTGACGGTCACTGCAGGGCACTGCCACCACCCCAAACCTGCAGGGACAGTGGCAGTCACACCCCTGAGCTGGAAATGTGACCTGGCCCATTCCTCCCAAAGCATTTCTCACAGCTCTGTAGTGGGAAAAGGCGAACTGAGGACATGGAATCTGTTTGGATTCTTTCTGGTGTTGTTTTTTCTGATATTTTGTTTTCCCCTAAGCCAAGCTGGTGACAATTCTTTCTCTCTTCAGGGCTGGCTCCAACAAATGGAGCACAGCACGATACTGAATCTCATAAAATTTAAACATTTCTATCCTACCTTTCTGCAAGAAGTTTAACACATCTCCTCTTTGCAAGCCTTGTGGGACTCACAGGAGGTTGAGCCATCAAGGTTGCTATTTGGCTTTCAGAAGTTTATAAAAGCCTTTTGAAAGGAGAAAAAACAACTCTTGGAGTCATCCATGGCACAGATGAGATGCTTCCATCTGCCTTTCAGGGACCCCAGGGAGGCTGAGGAGCAGAGCCATGCAGCAGCCCCATGGAATGGGCTCAGGGGTGTTTGCACAGGGTTTAAACATACTGATGTAATTATATAAATATAGGGATATAATTATATAAATATACTGATATAATTATGGTGTGAATGCCAAGGCTTCAGGGGAGAACAGGAATCATCTCTGCCCGCAGAGGTGTCCCCTGGTGGGGAGAATGGGGGGCACCAAACACCCAAAACCCAATCTGTGCAGCACTGATGGGATGAGTGTGCACGTGGCATTTCCCATTATAAACAGCCACCAATTCCTCCTCAGCTCTGCCTGGTGCCCCATTCCTGTGGGCCAGACAGCCCAGCAGCTCAGGTACTCCTTCCATCCTCCTTCCACAGGCTCACTGGAATTACCAAGGAAGGAGGAAAGGCTCACACTGGAATTACCATGAGATGAAGAAACACTCACTGGAATTACCGTGAGAGAAGAAAATGCTCACACTGGAATTACCATGACATGAAGAAATGCTCACAGGAATTACCATGGGAAGAGGAAAGGCTCACTGGAATTACCATGGCAGGAGGAATCAGCAGCAGCAGGGCCAGCTCAGGTGCTGGGCAGCAG